ACCTCCAACCTGTCAATCCACCATCAATCTACCTCCAATCCACCATCAATCTACCTCCAATCCACCATCAATCTACCTCCAATCCACCATCAATCTACCTCCAATCCACCATCAATCTACCTCCAATCCACCAATCTACCTCCAACATGTCAATCCAGCATCAATCTTCCTCCAATCAATCCATCAGACCTCCAACCTGCCAATCCACCATCAATCTACCTCCAACCTGCCAATCCACCATCAATCTACCTCCAACCTGCCAATCCACCATCAATCTACCTCCAACCTGCCAATCCACCATCAATCTACCTCCAACCTGCCAATCCACCATCAATCTACCTCCAACCTGCCAATCCACCATCAATCTACCTCCAACCTGCCAATCCACCATCAATCTACCTCCAACCTGCCAATCCACCATCAATCTACCTCCAACCTGCCAATCCACCATCAATCTACCTCCAACCTGCCAATCCACCATCAATCTACCTCCAACCTGCCAATCCACCATCAATCTACCTCCAACCTGCCAATCCACCATCAATCTACCTCCAACCTGCCAATCCACCATCAATCTACCTTCCAATCCATCATCAATCTACCTCCAACCTGTCAATCATCAATCCACCTCCAATCAATCCCTCAATCCACCTCCAACCTGTCAATCATCAATCCACCTCCAATCAATCCCTCAATCCACCTCCAACCTATCAATCCATCATCAATCCACCACCAATTTACCAACCCACCAACCCACCCCAAATTCGCCAATCCACCACCCATCTACCTCAAACCTCTCGATCCCTCATCCACCCCCCTCCAATCTCCCCCTCCACCATCCATCCATCCCCCTCCCCATCTGCTCCAAAATCCACACACCCAGCCCCAGAACCCTAGCAGGAGCAGCCTCCACGTTGAGCCCCCTGGGCACGCTCGGAGCTGGCCCCACCTACCTGGAAGGACCTGCTGCCTCCACCAGGGAGCCAAAACCAACCCCTTGGATGAGGGATGAAACAAAAAAAGGACGTGCCACTGGTGAGGTGGGGAAAGAAAAAAAACCCTCAGGCTCTTTATAGACTCCTCCACGTCGGGGCTTGGGGCTAATTTTAGAGAGGAGACTTGGAAGCTTCTCTCCTCACCCCCTCCAAATTCCACGGGCTGGTCTGCAGAAGGATTTCAGGCATATCCTGGATACCATTAGCACCAGTAACTGGATAAGATTCCACAGCCCAGGGGCAGGGCTGCAAAGCTGGGAGCTGGAGTTGAGCATTGTCCTCCTCTTTCTCAGGAGAGCTTCGAGGATCTGGCCCTGGTGAGGTGTGAGAAGCTAAATCCCAATGCTGGAACCTCTCCCCTGACTCATTTCTCACCCCCCAAGATGAGATTTCCAAGGTCTAGGCTTGACAAGCCTAAAAAAATCCACTCCAGAAGGATCAGCTGCTCTGGTTTTGCACCAAAAGGTGATGGGAGGGAACCAACCCTACAAACATCAAGGTTGGAGAAGCCTTCTGAGATCCTCAAGCCCAGCCAGCAACCCAACACTGCCACGAGCACTAAACCACATCCAAAAGTGCCACATCCACACGTTTTCTGAGCCCCTCCAGGGCTGGGGGCTCCAGCACCCCCCTGGGCAGCCTGGGCCAACCCCTCCCCACTCTGCCAGGAGAGAAATTCTGCCTAAGATCCAATCAAAACCTCCCCTGGCAAAACTTAGGCCCGTTTCCTGTGAATCATAGAATCACTTTGGCTGAGAAAAGACCTCTAAGATCATCAAATCAACCATTATGTCCCATCACTGGGAGAAGAGACCTCCCTCCAACCTCCTTTCCCGGCCGCACCCCCCCCAGGTCCCTCACCCCCGCCCCAGCCACGTTCCCCAGACCCCTCCCCAGCTTCTCTGCCCTTCTCTGGACCCTCCCCAGCCCCTCAGGGTCCTTCTTTATCACTCATGAGGAAGCCCCTGTGCCTCAGGGCAGCATTATCAGCCCCAAACACCCTTTGTTTTGTCACAAGCAGTGCCCAGAGTTGTTAAAACAAACCCAGAGTCCGTGTCCACCACAGGGAGCTCGTTGCCCCAGTTCCGTGGGTCACACTGGGGCAAAAACAAAGCCAAAAAACCCTCAAACTACTTCAGTTTTCCTTGATTCCATGAAAAAAAAACCAAACCTAACATCCTCCTTCAAGATTTTTGGGTGTCTGAGGTAGGGAGAGAGCCAAGAGCAAGAAACCCTGGAAGGAAACTCAGATGAGGTGAAGAAACTACCCAGGAAATCTCATCCACGGAGAGCTGGAAGGCACCAGGTGCCCAAATCCATCTGAAGGGGAATCAAACTCCACATCCATTTATTTCCAGCTTTAACCTCCCAAAAAAAAAAGCAGGAAAACACAAAGTAATGAAGATCCAGGGGCCACCAGAGGGTCCTGTGAGAACGTGGGCGAGGTGGGACATCCAAAATCAAGACCCCGACGGCCACACGGAGCTGGGACAATCCCCATTTTTCTCTTGAAAGAGTCAAAATTTGGGGTTTAATCTCTTTTCCCAGTGATCCCCAGCAGCATTCCAGCTCCAGCTCTCCCCACCAGCACGGGCCAGAGCCAGGAGCTTCTCTCCAGGAGGACAATCCACGTGTGAGCTCCACTCCAAGGAAACCTCCCGACGGAAGCGCAGCCGAGGTGGAGACTCCTCGTGATTTTTGGGGGGGTTTTGAGGTGACAAACGAGTCGAGGGATTAATCAGATCAGGGTTTAAAGTCTTTTCAAGAGAGTCTAGAAGAGAATTGAGGGTTCCTGGCGACGCCTTGCTGCCCAAATTCATCCCCCTGAGACGCTGCAGATGTCAGGGGGCAGTGATGCATCCTCCACAGGCATAAAAACCCTCCAAAATAACCCACAGGAGGCCAAAAAAAGTCCAAAAAAATTGAAACTTCGACTATTTGTAACCAGGTTGCTCCAAATCCCCTGGAAAAACCCCCAAATCTCTGGGTGAAACCCAAAAATCTGGCTCGACGATGGGACGTCCCTCGAAACCGAAGTCGCTCTCCACAGGGTGTCAGAAAAAAACCTTCCAAAAAAGGGTTTTTTTTCTTTTGATGGTTGTTTTTTTTTTTCCCCTCCACATCCTTCTTGTGATCACCAAGATGCTTTAAAAACGGGCGAGGAAAAATTGACAGCTGAGCAATCCAAAAATCCTCCTGAGAAAGGCTCCAGAACAACCAGCCAGCGGGTCGGTGGTGGGCAGGGCAGAACAAATCCCCCAAATTTGTTGGATAACAGAGAAATCATTAAAAAAAATAATCAAAGAAAAGCAAAAAAAAGCAGCAAAGCAGCTTCCTTTTTTTTTTCTTTCCTCCTTCTTTCAACAGCAAAGGGACGAAATGCAGCTCGGTGAATGAATCCAGCAAGTTCCTCTCCTCTCAACCCACTCCCCGTGGAGGAAAATGGGTAGAAAAAGCCACTTTTGGAGAGTCTGAAGTTTTTCTGAGCTCTTTCAGGGCTGGAGGTTCAGGGCTGGAGGAGCTGGGAGCCCCCGGGGGGAGGGGAGAGGTGCTGCAAAGATGGATTCTCCCCTCGCCGGCCCTCCTCATGAGGAAAAGCACCAGAGCCGAAGTCGCCGGGTCCCCAAATTTGGGGTTTTCAGCCTCGTTTCCCATCCCCCATCCAGCGGGGGGGGGAGGA